TCTGAATAGCTACAGAACAGAACTGAATTGACTGCAGGCAAATTGTCAGAAGAGTACTGAATTTACTGCTAAAGATGCTGATAATCAGCTAAATACTGAATATGACCTAAAACTTTTCTGGTAATGTTAAGATCAAAATGACATGAATAAAATTCATTAACAAGTGATAGCAATAATTTTGCAAAGTGAAAAAGAGGAAAGAGGAATTAGAGATAAAAAAATATACATGTATACATCATGCTTATGCTATACAAAATACGGTCATTGTGGATCTTACGTAATGTCTGCAGGTCCTCTTAAGTTAAAGGCAAGTCAGTCTTTTGTTCATAATTGAATGTTACTCAAAATCGATCTTAATTTTTTGTGCTAGTTTGTCAAATTTACTTTTGAAAATTTGCACCGTATTTTATTTTGTATTTTTAAAACTAAGGTTTCAAAGGTTATTAATTATACGTGCGTAAATATGATTTGACTACAGATACAAAGATTTATGTTTTCAGCCCAACTACAGCAGATAAAGAAGCAGACATTGTCGGCACTGTACTGTAGAACTATGGCCGTTAATACAATGCCTGAGAGTGCATTTGATTCTCCATTAACAGGGTAAGACTGTTTTTAATAATGCCTGATTAGACAACGCATGCTGCAATTTTCTAGGTTTATTAACTTTGTTTTGATTGATTTGTCTTCTTTTTTTTTCTTTTTTTTTTTTGGGAGGGGGTATGTCTTTTTATGAATGGAATGGTAGAGCTTTAGTTAATGTAATCCGCTGCTCATTTTGGTGGTAGGCTTCCGTTATATTAGATACATTTTGTAGGCAGTAGACCATAAAATATGATAGTATAAGTTGTTCAATTAGCAAACATAAAAAAATAATTAAACCTTTGTTAACTTACGTTGTAGACTGATGTTGTCTTTCGGTGACTTTTTCTTCATTTTTTGCCATGTGTATGTCAGTTTGCCATCGATTTAGAAGAGTTTGGATATGATTTGGTATCTTCCACTGCTCTTTTAAAAGTGATATTAATCGTATAATGATCTTTATCTAAACTTCCGATTTCTGTCGTATACCTCGTTAGTATTCTAGCGTACTTACAAAAGTTTTGTAAACAAAAAGTAACATAAGAAGCACACAAAATGTTTATGCATCTATGGTTGTCGTGGTTAAAGACGTGATAAAATTATAATTTCAGTTGTTTAAGGATGGGTCTGTTTTGAATGTATTATAGTTTTATTATAGAGCATCATAAATGTTCTGAGTTATAAATGAAATCAAATAAAAACAATTATATTTTTAATTTAGTTAAATACATTTAACGTATGTTTCACTTCCTTCTTACTTTTTTTCAGGAAAGAACGCAAACCATGTAAAATATTCCCTGGATTGGATGGGCTAACGTATACAATCCTTACAAAGGAAATAAATGACATAAAAACAAATAAAAAACAAAAACTATTAAATGTATTAAACTGAAGGAACGTTGAAAATATTTCGTTTGTTATTTAAATTAAATACTTTAAATTTCAAATTCATTTTGAAAACATTTAATGTAATTTTATTATCAAACTGTTGTTTTGCTTGGCGGAGTTTAGGGGCATTCCTTCCAGATCTACATCCGTCTACTTATCAAGTGCTGTATCTTTGTCTCACAGTTTGCAAGAGAAGGACATAAACTATAAACATGTAGTCTTACATCTACTTCATTTGCACTTTGGTGGATAGTTATCTCATCGGCAATCATATCACATCTCCTTATTTTCATATAAATCAGTCCTACCATCCATGTGTTGATCTGTCTGTCTAGTGTCAGGAATATCACCATCTGATGTTCTAAGTTCAATCTTAATCTTATGTACTTAAGGGATGTTATTGTGTTCAATGCAGGTCTATGGCATTTATTATCGCTTTTGAAGAATTGAAATCAATGTTTAGCTTTGTATAGAGTACAATGAATAGACACATGTCTGCCGTCGTAGATCGTGTTTTGACCTCTAGATTTTTTTTCAGTCATATAGTGGATGCTTCATCGTCGTATACCCCCATCACCTTTTTATGTCTCTTTTATTAATAATTTAATTCTCGATTGGTTGTATTTGTTTCTTCTGTTTCAGAACTTTTCATTCCTTTTACTCTTTTGGTGACTAAATATCAGTACTTGTCTGGTTTTCTCTTTTATGAATTTAGAAGATGCGGGATAATTGCTAATGAAACAATTCTCCACCAGACCAAATGACGTAGAAAGTAAACAACTATTGGTCATCGTCATGCCTTCAACAATGAGCAAATCACATAGTGTTTAAATGTGAGGATACTGAAATGTTTGTTTTTAAGTTGTGTTTAAACATAATTTAATTTGCTAAATTAAAAAAAATGGATGATACACAAATAATTCATACGTGTTTTTGAAGACGACTACGTTAATGTCGTAGTGTCATCATTGCACTGTGTAATTATATCGTGTCAACAATATAAATACAGGAAGATGTGGTATGAGTGTCAATGAGACACATCACCACAATAGACCAACTGAAATTGAAGTTTTCAACTATAGGTAACCATATAACCTTTAACAATGAGCAAAACCCATACCACATCGCAAGGTATTAAAGGCTTTGAAATGACAAAAGAAAATCATTTAAAATGAGAAAACTAACTGCCCGATTTATGTAAATAAAAACAACGAAAAAAAAAACAGCTACAAAAATATCAAACGACAACCACTGAATTACCGGATCCTGACTTGGGACAGACAACTGTTTAGATATCCCTTCTAGTTAGCTATGCATATATTTGTAGAGCCACTTTTTAATCTAATCTTTATTTGACTGGTTAATTATTAAGTTATGGATTTTTTTTACTATAGATTACTTTACTAAATCTTTCATAGATATAAAGGTTTGGCTGGTGAGATAGCATAACCTCATTTTCACTGTGATGTTGTTTATCGAGCCCGTAAAATTAGATACGATCAGTGTAAACTTATCGATCCTTTACACAAACCTATTGTAAAAGGTTACCAATTCAACACTGATACTAGATACTTGAATATTGATTTTAACGGTTCAAAATTATATTTTAGTTATACACATCCACGGTCCTACATACTGTCTTTATCTTTATGTTGACATTTTACACGATCATTATTGCCTGTGACTGTTAATGATATCTTAACATAAAATCCATTTGATGTTGGATGTGTACTAACTGGTAACTGGTAACTGGTATTTTATCTTTAATACATGAATTTTATAAGTTGCTTAGAACTATCTTTTAGTAACTGCGATTACTCTAATATCTGATCACATTCTATATTTTCATGTCCTATGTCAGAAGCCTGCATTTCTGTAGTTGTCGTTTGTTGCTGTATATCAAGTGTTTTCGTCTTTTATTGTTTTGTTTATAATGATATATTTGCTTAACATCTAGTTGTAAATATTGCATGTATTTTCAGGACCACAACAACTTAGCAAAACATACAATAAATAGGTCCAGTAATAAAAACCATCTTGGAAAACAGTCGATGAAATTCAGACTGCAACAAGAAAAATAAGGGTAAAGTGGAAAGGGACAAAAGTTTTGCTTTGCAACAGACAACATACTCCCCCTAATTGAGTTGTTGTTATGGTTTTAAATGTTCAGAGAGCGTGACACTCTCTACACGAGGAATCTGGCGTCCCCATTCTTTTCATACGTGTTTGCGAACTAATACGTCCCGCACTTATACATCCTGCACGCCAAACGGACGTCCAACTTTGGAAACGGTTGTACTTCAGTTCGGAAGAAGACCAACATGACCATATTTCCATTCCTTATCAACTCATGAGGGTATTTAATTTTTGGAAAGCAATGATTTTCTTATTCTTAGTTTTTTAAGAAAAATTGTATTGCCAGGCAAAAGAAAGAAATCAAGTTTTCTGAATATGTTCACTTTTTTAAATTAATTTGATTATTACAAAGGGAACAAATTTACTGAAAATCTTTGCAGAAAATATTAACTTATTCGGGTATGCATGTCAGATAATACATATTTTACGGTTGATTTTTTTGTCGTATAACTAACTCACCGATGGGTGTCAGGATTGATCAAATGAAAGAAATACCGTAACTATAATTCTTTTCTTGTCTGCTAATGATATAATAGCAACAAAAAAAATTAAAAAAACACTTCTTGTCTCAAGTGTATACGTTGAAAGTTACTCACAAAAAATGTATTGTCTGAAATTAAAATATACTTTTTTGCAGGTTTTCTTTATTATTAAGATTCAATGCTTAATTCTCTTCATAACAAACAGTCTACAAGAAGTGAATATACATTTACATACATTGTAATTTGTATTTTGACTTTGTACAAATTGGATTCTGATTGGTTAAAATTCGGTGTACTTTCGAGTTTCTCTTGACTTTAAATCAGGTATAAGCGATGAAACCCAAAGTGAAAAAATTTAGATGAAAAAACTAACAAAATGGCGGAAATTGTTTGGAGTGATGGTCAACACGTTCAGAAGTATTTCAATGATAACGATGAAACAGCGGCGGCCAATTTAAATGATTTGGACGAGAACAGAAGATATAATAGATGGAAATAGAAACATTCTAGCAAAACTGCGAACAGAAGACTTTCAAAGCGGGAACCATGGGGATTCCCCAGACAATGTTCGAAATGGATGACATGAAACAGGATTTGCGATGTTTATCATTGCGCCTTTCAACTGTGAATCAGTATTGATCACTGACATCGATAGATCATCAAACATTATGTTTGTCAAGATTATTTATTGACGAAAGTTATATCAATGAACTTGTTGTTAAAACATATTTGTACATGAAAGTAAAAGTCGAAAGTCGGAAGGAAAATAACGGAAAATAGTTGCATAAAAAAAACCGTTGGTCCGAGAAGAAACTTTTTTCTTTTGGTAATCGCAATGGAACTAGTTCTTAAGAGATTTTTAACAATATTGGTTTAATTCTGAAGTCATGGATACCTTTGTAAAGTTTTTACATTGATGGATTCGCGTTAATAAAACATGAAAAAAAAAAATTTACCTTTGTTTACCTCTATTTGCACCTGTACAGGTAATAAATGACTAGAGACTCACACAAAAATAAAATAAATAAAAAATACAGAATATAAAAATACTTTTGTATATAACTTTTATTGATGAATATTCAATATTTACAAAGATATTGCAATTGTAAGTAAACATGTTTATTTCATCAGTGATTAAAATTTTATCCAGCAATACACAAAAGTACAATAGAAATGAATGCATCAGTCTAAGGGTTAACTATCTGCAAATAGTTTTTATTTGCATACTCAGAAAAATCATTCTAACTGGAAAACAAGAGTCATAGTTATTATATAAATTTCAATTTAAGCCTTGAAAAGAAGTATAGAATCCTCAAATAATTTTCAAATTATTATTTTTTTATTTGTCCTAAGACATTTAAAATCATTTAATTACAATCCTTTTATGATTATTTGTTCAATTTATATTTTATTTATATTCTTTAAAAAAATTTCATTATTAAAAGGAAAGTAATTTAAAACAGGATAAATCAAGGGAAGTAACCCAATAAATACACAATTTTTGTTACACAACGGCAGTTAGTCTGAGGTAAAAATCGTTGATTACCAGTATGTTTGACACCCAAGCTGACAAGTGAAGCCATATAATTATGCATGTTAATTGATTTATAGGTAAAATATAACTTCAGGTAATGTCAGTTACACCAGATGCCTGAGATGATATGTTGGGCAGAAATTTTTCATTCATGAAAAATTTCATACACGGGATTTTTTCCTCTTCAACGGGAGGTCGGGCGGAGACCCCTGAAAACGGGATTATTGTACTCCCGTCGGGAGGTTCACATGTATGAGATTATGTCTTCATCATATGAATATCAGGCACAATCCCTCCTGTTAGGGGTTTAGTATTATACCGTCATAAAATATATGAGAAGAACACAACCCGTGTCATGCCAACAACTGGTTTTAGAATAAATATGTTTAATTCCGATGCAAAGAACCTATAAGTGAATCAATATTAAAGCCAAAATATGCAATCTTTAATGACCTGACAACAGTATCGTAACTATATCCCTTCTTAATAAGTCTGTTTAAAGGTTTTGTTAGATTTTGAGGTGAATACTGGCATTTTTGTGCTTTGTAAAGAATATTACCATAAAAGATTGGATGTGAAATACCCGAACGTATAAGATGTCTGCATGTTGAGTTATATTTACGAATGATGTCCTTATACCGATGATAAAATTTAGTAAATGTTTTGACTAGTTTATGATATCGAAAACCCTGGTGTAATAATTTTTCAGTAATATAAAAATTTCTCTCGCTAAAATCTAATCCATGCATGCATCAACCACATTAACAATCTGCAAATAAGAAAACTCAACAGTTTCCTAAATTATATCATATCGATGTTAACCCATACAAAATGAATACATTGTCACCTCAGAAATCAATTCAATATCATCTGATAATATAATTCATTTTACAATTCAAACTGACAGTTAAAATTTTACTGAGTTAAGCATTATATCCTTGTACGGTCTAATAAATATCCTTGATTTTTTAAAATATGGATCAAATTAATATGTATCTTCATCCATACTGTCTGGTAAAATACCATTTCTAAAACTAATTTTCCGACTCTGATTATCAATCAAAAATGTTTATTCAAATATGTATATCTATATTGTCATCAACATGTACATTCTGCAAGTCCCTAAAATTATTATGCAATGCTTCGATAGATAAAATGATGGTTCATCTTACTCTTCGTAATATAATATTGACTCTTAAAACATAGCAGCAAATTGTTAATAAAACCAAAAAGCCCCATTGCTTCCTATGTTAAAATATGCAATTTCAGGAATTTATAGCTATGTCGTCTTAAGTTCAAATAAAGTGGTATTCATTTCCTAGCAAAACTATACATATCTTCAGTGTCATATAAATGCGCACTTTTTCTTAGAAGTTGGTTAGTATTAAAACAAATCATCTGATCTTAGCAACAGGGGATATATGTCCCATCATAATTTCATATGTTTAGTTTATTTATTATTTTAGAAAATTTTTTATCACTGCGTTTACAGTGATTACAAGACCTTCAGCTTTCATTTGATACGAAAATTACCCAAATATTTTTCCTTTGGCAAAGTAACGTCTATGCGTATGGACTATTTTTTTTAATGTATGTGCTACCTTCTTGTGTGTTCTATTTGACCCATAGCCCAAATTAGTGCCTCTATACCTAAAATAATACTTAGCCTTTAATAATATCAAAAAATTGAAAACAACACGTTTAATAATTTCATGCGTCCGATGCGCTTTTCTGTATTTACCTTCATCAGGAACGCTCAAAGCCAAAGTGAGTATCATGATCAACAAAAAAATACATTTCTTAAGTAATGTAAAAATTCGTAAGGGTTCCGCGGAACCCAGTGTCTCGCCTACTTTTGCTGTTAATCGCAGGCTCAACAAAAATGAGGAAAAAAATTAATTATAATAATCCTCTCTATACTATCTTTTGATATAAGTAGCTTCTGTCCAAGTTTGGTAAAAATCCAGGATAGTTTATGAATCTTATAAATGTTTTAAAACTTTAAAGTGCAGACTGTATGTAATGTTAACTGGAAGAAAAACTAAGTCCATTTATAAGTAAAATACGGAAAAAATGGTTTTTTTTTATTATTTTTTTACAAAATTTACTTCTGGATACTATCTTTTGATCTTAAACAAGCTTCTTTCCAAGTTTGGTAGAAATCTAGGATAGTTTAAGAAAGTTATTAAAATTTCAAAAACTTTAACCACAGAGTGAATGTAATGTTTCTTGGCAGAAAAACCAAGTCCATTTATAAGTAAAATACGGAATAAATGGAATTTTTTTTTCACAAAATTTACTTCTGGATACTATCTTTTGATCATAAACAAGCTTCTTTCCAAGTTTGGTAGAAATCCAGGATAGTTTAAGAAAGTTATCAAAATTTCAAAAACCTTAACCACAGAGTGAATGTAATGTTTCTTGGCAGAAAAACTAAGTCCATTTATAAGTAAAATACGGAAAAAATGGAATTTTTTTTTTACAAAATTTACTTTTGAATATTATCTTATGATCATAAAGAAGCTTCTGTCCAAGTTTAGTAGAAATCCAGGATAGTTTAAGAAAGTTATTAAAATTTCAAAAACTTTTACCACAGAGTGAATATTTGTGGACGCCGCCGACGACGACGACGACGCCGACGGAATGTAGGATCGCTATGTCTCGCTTTTTCGACAAAAGTCGAAGGCTTGACAAAAATCAAAATAACAAAAATACGGAACTCCAAGTTAAATGAAAAGTTCCTTATCAAATGCAAAATCAAAAGCTCAAACACATCAAACGAATGACAAACAGCTGACATGTTTTTAAAAAATGGTGTTTCCCTTGGGATAGCTAGCTTATCCTCTCACTTGAATGACAGTCTCATAGAATTCCATTATATTGACAATAATATAATAGTTTTTGTATAAAACAGATAAGCATGTTACATGTAAATACTCGAATTACATGTATGTATTACATATACTAAAGCCTTTGACACTTCAAATCGTGCTAGTTTTTATAAAACATATATAAGTTGTGAAAAGGAACAATTACTACACAAAGTATGATAATGCAAAATCTACAATAACTAGTGCTATACATACATGTACAATAGAAAGGGTATTCTAATAATAATGACTTTGTGCATGCTGATTAAGTGATAAGACATAAACCAGATCTTTGTAACTCTACTTTTTATTTATGTAAGCATTCATACTTTAACCCTAACTTAGTTTATAGCGAGACACTTGACAAGTAGTTTTGAGCGCATTAACTATGTCAATTGTTAAGTTGTAGTTATACATGATTGGTAATATTAATGGGCGATGACACATGTCAAAGGTTAAATGCTTACCAAATAAACTTTACTGCAATTTTCATGATTGAAATATGTCAATTAAAAAGTTACGTGATAACTATCTCTCATTTTCAGAAAAAAAAACCAGAAGCGGCAGATGTCAGTAGGATGTGCATTTCATATACATCTTAATGCAAATGAATTGCTGACGTGGGATTTACAAAGAATTTTACAGACTTGAGTGTCGTTTATGTATTATTGAATAGTTTCTCTCCTACTACGTTCTTGATGATAGATGTTAAATCTTATTTGAGGTTTATCTGTCTTCAATCCCGAATGGGACTTTAAGTTTCAAAGGAGTTAATTAATAAAATATTATGAAAAGAAGGAGACATTTTAAAAACAATCATGAAGGTGATACAATCTTTCATTTCCCAACAACTAAGAAAAGATCGGTTAATTAATCAGTTGTGATTGTGCTTGTTCCAGGAACAAGTGTTTGATGCATGCTTATTTCATGGAGATAGACCTTTGTAAAAGGCAGAAAATGAATAAATAACCAGAGAAGTAAAAAAGTAGGAGTCAGATCTTTTGAGATTAAAGTGTGAGCACAGGTTTAAGCTCTCCTTGTTCTTGTTATTCACACCAGAAGTAGTCAACGTCGGAACTCAATAGTGCTCTAACAAAAAATATTTTCAGTTAATGCACTCCTCAAAAAATAACGGAAGTCAACTCACCCTTTATTTTACAATGAAGAAATGTGTTCTCATTTTAATTTTAAATTCTCAAATTCTGATTCAACGAGGTGGCGGTTAAAAACAAGTTATTCCTTTTCATAATTGAAAAAAAAACCATTTTGTATATAAACCTAGATAAACGGGATTAGTTTGCTTTGCTGTCAAATAATTTGTATCAAAATAGCAGACAAATCTTGGTTTACGTTTTAAAGAAATGAACCTGAACAAATTAACAGCGGTTGAGTATTACTGTAGCTATGCAATATATTTATTTATGTTTACGATTGATTTTTTTCAAAAATTTTCTTCATCAAAATCTTGTGTATTTGTTTAAAGAATATAAGCGTGTGTTTGTGAATACTTTAACAAACACATAAATCTATGTTACAAATTTCTTGGATTATGAAGAGAAATTATTTTACAAAACGTCATTAAAATATAATATGATAAAATATTATTAGAGATTCTAAACACAGTAATCTAAATAATTTGGCTTCAGTTGTATGTCTTCACCACAACTGAAAACTTACACTATGGCGACAAAGGAATAGCTATCCTTTTATATTCAACTAGCTGCTTTCACAATATGGGATAAGATCTCTTAAATAAAAAATATATGTGTATTATCCATTGTCAATTTTCTTCTTTTACAATAAAACATTAAATATAGTGGGAATATGCAGGTATTCATTGTCAGTTGAAATTTGAACTTTGCAGAAGGACGGTTTCGTTCGTAACTCGTTAACTTAATTCAATCACATGTATTACACTCTTGATAAAAAGATAAAACTTTATCATTGTGTACATTTAGTAAAGATGATATATTCATGAATTAAGAGCACACCGTTTGTGATGTTCCATTCTCTCTCGATATCTATGAGGTGTTGAGGGTAAAAACAAATTGCTATTTGATTATGACTTAAAGCGTTAATATCTAGAAACTGAAATGGTGATGGCTCAACTGATGATCGGTTGACATCATGTTAAAAGGGGCTAATTCTCTAATATAGATCGACGATAATAGCTTGCTTGAAAGCTAGTATACAAATTAAATGACAATTATTAAAATGTACTGAAAAATGATGAAAAGAATTGAAATATGTTTAAATACTTTAAAACATTATAGTCTACTAAACTACATTTTTAGTACTTTGATTTAAAATATGACTGAGTTCTCAGTATATTCAAATTTACAACATTCGGAAAGATGACAGAATAGCTTTAATTGGTGTAACGATGCATCCTCCAGCTGGATGAGAAGCAATTGCCATGCCTATACAACCAGTTATTCCATTTGGACCTACAGCATAAATGCACGTTCCAGAGTCACCTAGCTGAAAAGCAATTTTCCTAAATGATAACTGATTGTAGACAGTAAACACTCTTGGACTTTTCAGCTCACCATCTGCCACAGTTTTAACTTGTTCTTTAAAATGAATAAATTCAGAAATATCATCTGGTTTAGGATTGCGGATTACCATTTCACTGACAGAATCAATAAATGTTTGAAGTTCTTGTCTTCTTTCTTTTTCTATTACTATTTTATCCTGACATAGTTGCAGTCCTGAAACTGACCCACTGGATCGCATTTGCAATTCTAATATAGTTCCTACTTCTTTGTAATCTAAACAACATGCATTTAGGTATGGCGATGACATTCCTAAAATATATAATGGTAATTATGACATTATAAAACTAGTATAAGATTGCTGTAATTTTTCTATACATTTTATTCTTATCAGGTGAGTAAACATGAAGTAAAGTGTATAAATTGAATGTATTTATTCAGATGTCCAGACCAAGACTAAAATCATGATATACTTTGAATAAAATCATGAAACTGGCTGTTTCTGTATTAGCTCTGGTATATATTCTCAATTACCTGTATTGGTCCTCGATTTTTTGAGTCTCGACATCGGGACCAGTACAGCTAACCTCGAATCTATAAAAGGGCCAATACAGAAACAGATAGTTACTTACCCTTCCGGAGCACCTGAGTTCACCCCCAGTTTTTTGGGGGGTTCATGTTGCTCAGTCTTCAGTTTTCTATGTTGTGTTTTATGTACTGTTATTTGTTGGTCTTTTTCTTTTCTAGCAATGGCGTTGTCAGTTTTATTTTCTACTTATGAGTTTGAATGTTCCTTTGGTATCTTTCGCCTCTCTTTTAATTACACCATAAAACTGCACTAACCACACAATCAGTTATCAATTCAAACTACCAAGAGGTCATTTAAACACCATCAGCTCTTGAATAAAAATTCAGTGGGAACATCACAATTTTTAAGTTTTTAAGAGAATGATAATTTATTATTTGTTGTTATTGGGAGAATGTAAAGGAGTAGTAGATGACAAAAACATCAATGTTAAATCATACTTAACATTCAGTTTCACAATTATAATATTGCATTAAAGAAATATTTTTCTAAAACCAAAAACATATATTGAAAATGAAAAATAAAATCCATGAATAAAACAAAATACACAAAGCTTACCATCTGATGTGACTTTGATTACATTATGGTAGATTACAACTAAAATGATCATTTGTGGTATGGGAAGTGGTACACATTAATATTGTGAAGAAGCTAAATCAAATTAAGTAAAAGAGAGCGCGCGGCGGAAGATAGAAAAGGAATATCCAAACCCATACGTGGAAAACGAACTGACAATTATATGACAAAAATATAGAAAGAATACCAATAGACAAACAACAGTCTACAATACACACCATAGAAGACTAAAGACTGAGTAACACGAACCCCACCAAAAAACCGGATGTGATTCCAGGATAAGAAGATTAATATACCAATCAAGATAAAAGTAAACTTGTAAAGATAGAAATTACTATCAAAAGTGTTCTTATACCTCAGTAGAAGAAGATAGAAAGTTGCCATATAGATACATTTTTAATTATTTTTGTCCTGGAATTGCTGTCTAATTGACGTTTAGTCCAAATTTCCTTTTATTCATACTAGTAAAACTAACAGCGTGTGTAAAATTGATCTTGGAACTATAACAAGAAGCACACATGCGCCTGTATCGCTCACCTGGTGAAAAATCCCCAGTTTACTAGTTCTGACTTTCATATGCCGATAGTATAGTTACTCTTTATGTTGTTGATCATTTTTGCAATTTGCCTGTTTATCTAGCTCATACAGCAAAAACTGCAAAAACTTTTTCCCCCGAGCTAAGGCGGGATGAAATTTTCATAGGCGGCCGCGGGTCTCCAAGGGTCTCCGATGGTCTGTGTAGCAGATGACAACAGACGAACTGACAACGAACTCAGAGTGATGACAAAAGCTCACATGGCTGTTTGGGTCAAGTGAGCTAAACATGAGGTCTAGGACAGATTGACCTTGTTGAGTAGTCATAAGGTCAAGGTTTGATGAACTATGACAAATAGACGTATACCTAAAATGACCGTCGTCAATTTTTGTAATATCAAACAGTTAATAATAACACAATATTCCTTCTAAGGGAAATGTATTTAGGTGCTATGAGTAAAAGTACAGTATTTTACTAGTTGTGTCACTTTTTGTATTTAGGGATACTTCACACATAGCCGTAAGCTTGAACTAGCGAAGAGGAATTGATTAAAACAGATTTTGACAGATTATTATTAAATACATAGCTTAAATTCCTACATCTGATGAAAACTTAAAATATCCAAAAAGGTACTCTCTTCGTTTGTGAAATAATTGAGATACCGTATCATCGCAAAAGTACAAATGCACGACCAAAACTGATTGCTTGAACATAAAAAACACACAAATAATGTCACAGACAAATTTAATTAGTTAGAAATAAAATATAAGATATCTTACCCATATCCGTAATTGACCTGGGTATACTATTTTGATCAAATACCACATTTTGATGATTGATTTTGACACAAGTTTTGTCAAGCTGAATAATGGCTGCATCAACAGTTGTATCTTCGCTTTCATCTGGTGGAAATGCAAAGTTTATCAGTTCGCCACAAGGAAGGGCACTGGTACCAGGAGGAGATCCTTGATTAATATAATAAACATTTATGGTATTTACATGAATTTTCTGTCTATTTTCTTTTGTAACTAGATATTCCTTGTCGATAATCACATGGGCACAGGTGAGGAACGCATCTTTACCAAGATATCGTACAAATCCTCCAAGTGTTCCACTTTTCCCACCTAGCCTTCCCACTTCACTCCCTATTCTTATGTCTTCCACTAACAATTCTGCATGTCCTTGTAAAATGTCTGTTGGAATGCCATCTATTTCGGATGGGAAGTGCTCTTCTCCGACTGGTATGTAGCCTTTTAATCGACAGTATAACTGTATGCACGGTTCTTTCATAAACATTTGTTTTATTTGGTAACCCTTGGATTTTATGGGCGAGGTTGAAACACTGGACACTTTTAATTTGCAAAACACTCATTTGCAAATCCGCCGCCGCCTCTCCTTAGACCTACAGTGTCGTGTAAATAACCAAAATGTGCGGAATTACATGGGATTCAATAATTTCATTGCTTTTCTGCTGTTATTATTATATATATTTTGTAATTTGATTTAGAAAAACATGGGATTTTCAATATCCCATGGGATAAGGCAAATCCCATGGGATTGACCATTATCCCATGGGATTTTGGTTAAATCCCATAGGATTTTTTTGGGTCCCATGGGATAATTGTAGTCCCATGGGATATTTGTTGTCCCATGGGACTATAATTATCCCATGGGATTTTTAATATCCCATGGGACAAAATAAAATCCTATGGAATTCAAATTATAAATATACAGTAATGCATATGTTAAAATGAATTCTGTTTGGTAGTAAAAAGTTAATAATATATATGAGTGTATTTTGGTTTTTTTTCATTTTGTCACAAACATGTTTTTAATTTGTTTATATGACAATAAAGATTATTATTATTTTGGAAATATAATAATATTTAAAGTCAAAAAATAAAATCCTTTAACTGAAATAAAATGATGACGTCTTAATAAAAGAAAAAAATATTGATTTGAAATCTTTGTCTTCTTTGTTTTATTATGAAAAATAGAACTGAAAAAAATATTTCATATTCTGACTGAATAAATTGACAAAGCACAGTTAATAGTTTACTCTTTTCATGAGGTAAAGTTTTCTTTGTTATAGTTCCATTGCAATACATGAATATGCAAACGATTTGAATCTTATTCCTTTGTGGTGTTCATAATATTACATTTATATTTGTAAATTTATAAAATAAACACTTTTCCTGTTAAGTTTTAGTTTTCTTGTTTCAGCTTGCTATGAACAATTATCCAGTCCACTATATAAGAGTCAAGTAAATAAATTATTTCATCCACTAGAATATTCCTACAATTCTTAGATAAAACATTTTTGCAATCTGTTCTTCAAAAATCTTCCTCCGTACATCTTTATTGGATGGAGCGATTTAAATGAGTGGACAAAGCAAGTTCATTTGGACAACAAAATACTAATATATTTTTTCATTCCTCCCTTCTTTCAATTGATAATTACGTTGTTGCATTTACATGATTAAGTTCTTGAGCATCTATGATCATGATGATATGACTCCTTTTTGTTTATAGTCATTATGTTGAAATTTCCTTTTTCTTATGTAGGAAAAAAACACATTCCATTTCAAATTAATAAAAAAGTCACACTATGTAGAAAAATATCAACTTTAAGTTTGCTGTTCAGTATTGACCTGTTGAATGATGATCATGAAAACCAAGATGTCTGACCTACAAATACACAAAACTCAAAAATTATAAATGAAGAGAAATACAGCAATAAAATGGCTATTTTATCATGTTTATGTTCATTTTGATAAAAATTTCATTTGAATATTTAAAATTGTAAGAACTCTTATTTCAGTGCTTTGTGTCTATGGTTTTCATATTAGTTGTTTTTTGTGCCTTGTTGCAGTCTTTTGAGTTAAGCCAATTGCAACAAATGTTTACAGTTTGTTCAAATGTTGTGCTGTTATTAAAACCACTGTCCAAGGTTAGGGGTGGGTTGGGTGCTCACTAAATGTTTATTTTATTAGTTGATATTTGCTTTGAATTAGCGGTCAGTAACTGTGAGTACTAATAGATCTGTATGTTGAGTCTTTTTTGTTAAAGGGAAAGAATAAATTTCCAGCCACATCCGGTCTGTGTTTTTGGTAGCTGTTTTTCTGCTTTGTTGCATTCTAATGAGTTAATAAAATTGAGAATGAAAACGAGAATGTATCAAAATAACCTGACCCAAGAGCAGAAAAAAAACCTTTTCAACTGATTTTATAGTTTTTATATTGAACTGACACTTACACCACTGTCCTTAATTAGAGGAGGATTTGGCGCCAGCAAACATGTTAAACCATGCCACATTTTGTAAGTGTCTGTCCCAAGTCAGGGGTCTATTATTCAGTGGTTGCCAATTGTTGCTATATATCATATTTGTTTTTTGTTTATTGTTTTGTGCAAAAATAAGGCACTTAGCTTTCACCTCTGTGGTGTTTCACCCAAGCATGTTTAGCATGGATAGACACCATGCCCTTTTTAAATGACGCCATGCCCTTATTGAATTGTTTTACATTTGTTATTTCATGGCCTTTTATGGATTACTATGCAGTATAGGGTTTGCTCATTGTCGAAGGATGTACAGTGAACTAATTTTGTTAAATTTAATGTCATTTGATCTCTATTGGAGAAAAGTCTCATTGGCAATCGTACCGCTTCTTATTTTTATATCAACCCTGCCATATTTTTCCTGTCATTATTTACAGGTCATCATTAGCCTCTTATAAGTAATTGCATTACTTACATCCACTTAATTGAACTCTGGTGGATAGTTTTCTCATTTATCATACCACATCTTATTTTCATAATAATCATTATTCAAGGGCAATAACTTTTATAGAAGTGGACTTACCATTTAGGCTTTGTTGACGTCTGTAAATCTATCTTTGTTGATAATTTCTTTTGTTTATAGTTTCCCTTTATCTTTAATGTTCTTGCCCTACACATAAAAGGGTAAACATTATCATTTAATGACAATAACTACTATTACATAATGAGTAGGCAACTGACAATTTTGGATCATTTGTATCTTGTCTTGCTCATAATTTTTGCTTGATATTATCAATATTCTATGAAAATGAGGTCACAGTAATATTAAACTTGGCAGACAGACATCTTCTTATTTTTATATGACACCTTGCAGTCATTCCATACACCAACAAGTAGACATATGCTTATAATATCTGATAAAATGAATAAAATGCTCCGCTGGGCGCAGCTTGATACGACTGCAGAGGTCTAACCCTGAACAGTTGGGGCAAGTATGGACACAACATTCAAGCTTGATACAGCACTGAATTTGGATTGTGATTAAATATTTGACACAGCATAGGTTTCTGACACAGAATGAATGTGGTCTAAGAACTTAAAAAATTTTAATTTACCTATTCAAACCATATCATTATTATTTGCTTTTATATATAAATCAGAAATAACCAATTTAAAATTGAAAATTTTAAAGAAAAAAAAAAGGAAAAAAAGGGGAAAAAAAATCCCCCCCCAAATTTTTTGAACCCCCTTATGATTCATCACCCCAAACTCAATCCCAGCCTTCCCTTTGTGGTATGGTACCTTGCAGTACAATTTCATAGAGATCCATACACTTATACACAAGTTATTGTCTGGAAACTAGAAAAATGCTTGTTTTTTTTTCCCCTTTTTGGCCCCAAATTCCTAAACGTTTAGGGCAATTACCCCCAAACTCAAACCCAGCTTTCCCTTTGTGATATGGAACCTTGTAGTACAATTTCATAAAGATCCATACACTTACACACAAGTTTTTGTCCTGAAACTAGAAAAATGCTTGTTTTTTGCCCCTTTTTGGTCCCTTATTCCTAAAATTTTGAGGCAATTATCCCCAAAATCAATCCCAGCCTTCCCTTTGTGGTATGGTACCTTACAGTACAATTTCAGAGAGATCCATACACTTGAACACAAGTTATTGTCTGGAAACTAGAAAAATGCTTATTTTTGGCCCCTTTTTACTAAACATTTTGGGCAATTACCCCCAAACTCAATTCCAGATTTCCCTTTGTGATATGGAACCTTGTAGTACAATTTCAGAAAGATCCATACACTTACACACAAGTTATTGTCATGAAACTAGAAAAATGCTTATTTTTGGCCCCTTTTTTCTAAACATTTTGGGCAATTACCCCCAAACTCAATTCCAGATTTCCCTTTGTGATATGGTACCTTGCAGTACAATTTCAGAGAGATCCTTACACTTGAACACAAGTTATTGTCTGGAAACTAGAAAAATGCTTATTTTTGGTCCCTTTTTGGCCCCTTATTCCTAAACGTTTTGGGCAATTACCCCCAAACTCAATACCAGCTTTCCCTTTGTGATATGGAACCTTGTAGTACAATTTCAGAAAGATCCATACACTTACACACAAGTTATTGTCATGAAACTAGAAAAATGCTTGTTTTTTGCCCCTTTTTTGGCCCCTAATTCCTAAAATTTTGAGGCAATTACCCCCCAAAATCAAACCAGCCTTCCCTTTGTGATATGGAACCTTGTGGTACAATGTCAGAGAGATCCATACACTAACACACAAGTTATGTCTGGAAGTTACAAAAATGCTTATTTTTGGCCCCTTTTTGGCCCTTAATTCCTTAACTGTTGGTACCATAACCCCCAAAATCAATCCTTATGGTAAAATTTCATAGAGATCCATTCACTTAAACTAAAGTTAGAGTGCGAAAACCAATGTGTCTTCGGATGACGACAACGCCAACGTCATACCAATATATGAACGCAAAAATTTTTTGCGGTCGTATAAAAAAACAAGAAAACTTAGCATTGACCAAAAAACCATAAAATGAGATCATGGTTATATGAATCTGCCAGACAGACATGCACACCTTACAATCGTTACATCCGCCAAATATAATTTACCTGTTGCTAAAAGCATATGATAAACTGACAAAACAATGCAAACTTTTCATTGACCAATGAACCATGAAAATGAGGTCAAGGTCATATAAAACATGCCAGACAGACATGTGCATCTCACAATCATTCCATTCACCAAATATAGGGGCCTTATTCATGTTATTGCTTACAGTATCCGAAAAAAACCACAAAAACTAAACATTGTCCAATGTACTATGAAAATAAAGTCAAGGTAAGATGAAACTTCTCAGTCAGACATATGCACCTTACAATCATTCCATACACCAAATATAGTTGACCTATTGCTAATTTGAAAATAAGAAAATAGAAAAACTGACCAAAAAACAAAAAAATAACACTGAGCAATGAACCATAAAAATGAGGTCAAGGTCGAATAAAACATGCCAGACTAACATGTACATCCTTA